ATTGATCCTCGTAAATGTACTGGGAGTGGTGGCGCAGGGTGGTAGTTGGTCACGAAGATCGTGCCGTGTAGCGCGAGGACAAGAAGAGCAAGAGCTGACCACGCGAGAGTGCGGCCAGCTCCGCTACCAAGTCGAAAGTGACTATGGTAAGTCAAATAGCATCCGATTCCATGGACATCGGATGGCAAATCGCGTCCGGTATCGTACTGACGCTGTTCAGTAAGAGGAATGGACGGATATGATAAGATAAGATCGATGTAATGATCTTTCCAGCACATAAGCGAACACTCGCGGCGTCCGGACAAATAGGGCGCACGTGCCTTGAGCCAAAGGCAACGGCGCGCGAGCTATACTCCCGATTCTATATAACATCTCCCAAAGAGCTACCCTTAAAGTCGCAGGACCCACCAGCAGCCCTCGAAAGTGGCGACAGTTTCGCAGATCGCAGCCCCCCAGGGATGGCGAGGTCTAATTTGGGTCCGCGCGTGGCGTCATTGTGCTGGGCCCCCCAGCAGGCCTCGAAAGTAGCGACAGTTTCACAGATCGCAGCCCCCCGCAGGCAAGACAGGAGGAGACAAGCAGGAGGCAGGAGGGAGGCGGGAGGAGACGCGCGAGAGCACTGCTCTATTCAAAACGAAGAATACCCAACCAAGGAGGGTTGGGAATAAAGCAGGAGCAGGACGCAGGATGAGGGAGGGAGGCGGGAGGAAGGAAGGTGGAGAACACAGTCCCTTATTCAAAACGAATACCCAACCAAGGAGGGTTGGGAATAATGATAATTACCCCCCAGGGATGGCGAGGTCTAATTTGGGTCCGCGCGTGGCGTCACTGTGCTGGGCCCCCCAGCAGGCCTCGAAAGTGGCGACAGGTTCACAGATCGCAGCCCCCCAGGGATGGCGAGGTCTAATTTGGGTCCGCGCGTGGCGTCACTGTGCTGGGCCCCCTAACAGGCCTCGAAAGTGGCGACAGTTTCACAGATCGCAGCCCCCCGCAGGCAAGACAGGAGGAGGCAGGCAGGAGGCAGGAGGGAGGCGGGAGGAAGAAAGGTGGAGACCACAGTCCCTTATTCAAAACGAATACCCAACCAAAAAAGGTTGGGAATAATTGTCCAAAACGGTCGAAAGAAATAGTCGGAAAATCCTCCCCAGACTATCTTCGGACTATTCTTGACTGTTCTCCTCCTGTAGAGGGACGTGCCCGCCTTAGGCCCAGGCCCGCGCCGACAGCGCCCGCCCTCCACTCCAGAAGTCGACCGGGGGATCGACTACAGAATCGATTTACCCCAACAAATTGATTTCCACGTCAACCCTTCCACAGAAATACGTCAACCATCCACGTCGACTCGACAACAACACGCCCACCATGCGTAGATGCGCGAAGAAGTCACACGACCTGCCCGTGGACCCGACAAGAAAAGATCCATCCTGGGGCAGGTTAACGCTGCAGTCGATCCCCTGCTCGAAGACGGCCCCGCTCCGTGCCCGCTCCGTGGCCCGCGGCGGCCGCGCGGCGGCGGCCGCGCCCGGCTCTCAGCGCTGCCAGTCTCCTGGCCCAGGCTCCGCCCTCCGCCCGGCACTCCGCCGCCCCGCCCTGCCCGATGCACCACCGATCCTCTCCAGAAGTGCCTGGGATCAGGTCGGGCGTGTCCCCCGACCGGCGGAGCTTCGACGAAAAGTAAAAAAACAGGGCAGTGTTTGATACATATGATTTTTAACATACATGATGATGCCTAATTATTAATTGATGATTAAATTTACGCATGAACTCATCGTTGTTGTTAAAACTAGATCCCTGCATCCTTTAATACATGATCCGTACGCGTAGCATGTATGAACAACGGCAGCCAAAAAGTGCTCCCCTAATGGTGGACAAATCGTAAAAAAATCGCACCCACACTATCTGTTTAACTATTTTTGAATATGCCTCCTGAAGTGGGACGTGCCCGACTTAACCCTGGGAGGCCGCAGGAGGTCTCTGGAAGGCCACTGTGCAAGGTCAGGGCCCCGCAAACCGGGACACGCAAAATCTTGACACCCAACATCCCTCGAAACAATTTGTTCCAGACGGCGGCACGAACAAAATACTGCACTGCAGCATTTCCAGAACAAACCCAGACACAGGCCCTAAAAGCCTGCAAGGCCCCCCTAAACCCGGGCACAAACCCGAACTCTGCAGTGCAGCCAACAAAACATGCACGGGTGCTGAAAACTGCGACTTTGCAGGAGAGGATGTCGCTTCCTTGGCTTTCCGTGTCCTGGTTCACCTGTGTCCCGGTTTCCGGGGGCCTGACAAGGAGGCCTCCGCTGGCCGCCAGAGACCCGAAAGGGGCTAGAAGGTTCCACAATGCTCGATATACTTCCCTTCCATTGCCGAGGTCGCGAAAAAACATCACGACTGGAGCCCCAGACCCAACCTTCCTGCGACTTGTCTCGAGCCAGGTCGATCTGCGAGGCCCAGGGGCCCCAGGCGAAAGCTCCGACTCGAGCCTCGGACCCCGATCCTCGGAGGCGAACGACATCTTATCCATGCCCCTGCTCACGCCAGAGCTCCACGAGGGGGCGGAGCAGGGGCGTGGATCGAGATCCCTCCTCCTCCTCCTCCTCCTTCTCCTCCTCCTCCTCCTCCTGCTCACGCCAGAGCTCCACGAGGAGGCGGAGCAGGGGCGTGAATCAAGCTCGGCGCCGCGGCGGCTGCGGGTGCCTGCGCTGGCAATGCGAGCCCTGCCACTGCAGCAGGCTTGGCTGCTACAGTCGAGGTACTATCAGAAGGAACGCTAAATAAGGAACGAAGCCCCTTCTTGGCCCGAGAAGCGCCTAGGTGCACGAGGAACGATGGAAAAGGAGCCATGGAAGAGATTAAGGAACAGCGAGCCCCTTCCGCACCCGAGGCGTTCCTTATTTCAGCGTCTTGACTGTATCCTGATCCGTCTGAAGTGCGACGAGGTGCCAAGTATATCTTGGACAGGAGGGAGCAGGGCGTCGAAGCGTGATGCGTGGCCGCACACGAGCACCCTCTGCTTCGCGTCGGTGCACCCGCAGGTCGAAGCCTGGCGGTGCAGCCTGCGCGCAGCGGCGGACGCACCGCACGACGAGCGCCCGCACGTGGACCCGCTGCAGCGGCCGTGCATCTGCCCGCGGACACCGCGTGCAGAGGTTAGGCGGCGAGCGAGGGGGGGAAGTGAGAGAAGGGGCGGAGCTTCTCAGAAGGCTCGGAAGTCCCTGGGCCTTCTGAGAAGTGTTATGAGCCTTCGCCGGGGACGCAAAAAACTTCTCGGAAGGCGCGAGGGCTCCCGAGAAGTCCCGCAGCCCTCTGAGAAGGCCTTCTCCGTGTCGCTCCCCCCCCTCGCTCGCCGCCAAGAGGTCGGAGCGCAGAGGCGGGTGGGATACAAACACCACTGGCCCTATCTGCTCCAGGCGATGCCCGAATCCTTCAAGACCCCTGGCGCTCGACACCAGGCAGTTGAGCGGCAGCGAGCTCGTCTTCGCCGGTGTCCGTCGAGGCGGGCCCTGGCACACCCTGCGGGAGGGAGCTGCCACACTGAAGGCAGTGGAGCGCCGTGGAAATCCAGCCGCCCCGGCCCGAGGGGAGGAGTACACGTCGTTCATTTATAATCGTGCTCATTTTTTTTTGTCGTGGCAATGCTTCGCGGCGCAACGGCTGCTCGCGAGCTGTGCGGCAGGCAGCCACTAGGCCACCCCGAAAAAGGCGCGGACCTCACCGTCTGAGAGCCGCACTGCTGCCTCGGCTACGCGCACGCCCACCTTCGCGGGGTGCCAACCACCGAGCAACTTTGCCTTCGCGCAGGTGACCTGTCTCGAGGCCGCCTGACCTTGGCAGCGGTCACCTAGGGACCGCAAAGCACGCCCTGAGCACCGTACCCCGCATCGGCCACAGAATGTGCACGGCCCCGCGCGGTACAGCTGGTGCCCTTGCGCTGGGTCTAGGGCCCTGATGGCCACACTTCCACTAGCTCTGACTGGCCCCGAGCTTGGCCCCACAGGAGGAGGTGGAGGAGCAGCAGGAGGGGCAGGCACTACAGGCCCGAGCGGCTGGGAGCTAGGCGACGCGGCGCCTCGGCCCCGGCTGCAACTCCTATGCACAGAGCCACCCTCGTGGATCACTCGCTGCCGCACTCCAAGGCACCGCTGGCGCTTGTACTGCGCCGCTCGGGCCCCTAGCACCTTGGAGCGCGCGCCGCAGTCCAGGCACCTGTACCGCTGGTCCTCCGTGACGAAGTTGTGCTTCCTGATCGTCGGGCCCCGCGGCCGTCCTTGCGCCACAGGGCCATCAGGCGCGCTCGGCCCTGCAGCATCACCGTGACCGTCAGGGTCCTCGATGGGGTCGTCCTCCATCTCGTCATCGGCAGCCGCGGCTGCTGCTGCTGGCTGGGTCGCCACCCTCGCAGCCCCCTCAGCTGCAGCAGCCACATCCTCAGGCGATGCGCCTGCTGCCGTTGCCGCTGCCGCTGCCGCCGCCACAGCTGTCGCTCCTGTAGCCGTGGCCTGCCCTGCCGAGGTCGTGGCAGGCCTCGCCTCGTCGGCCTCGGGCTGCCGTCCTCGCAACTGGGCCTCTCGTCGGCGCTGTGTCCGTGCCTCCTCTTTGGTGGGCAGCGCGACGCCCCCGAAGTCGCCGACCTCCACTGCCATGTCTGCCACGAAGGCCAGCACCTGCAGTACCGTCTTCCAGCGGTCCTGCCAGACGTCGATTTGCCACTGCGGCGGCATGGCCAGCTGCGCACATTTGACCGCCAGTTCATCGGCGATCGTGTTGCCGTGCACGTGGAACGCGTTCCGCCCTCTGCCATGCGACCGTACATGCGCCACCGTGAGGCCATCCATGTTCGGGAAGGTCTCGTCCACGACGTTCCAAATGCGCATCCAGATGTCGCAGTTGCTCCTCTGCGGCGCCGTGCACCACTGTCGGCCCCTCCGCATGCCTCTCACCGCCATCTCGCAATCGGTGACCAGCATGGTGGGGGCCGTCGCCCTGCGCAGGGCCTGCTAGATGGCCTGGAGCTCAGCACGCCCCACCGACAGATCAGCTCGCACTCCTGGCAGGCTACCGCATGCTCCACCAAGCGCCGTGCACTGACCTTCGCCCGCTGGCTCCTCGAACCACATGTAGCCCCAGCCGTAGCCCTTGAGCGTAGTGGCGCCTTTGCCCGAGCCGTCAGTGAAGCAGACCCCCGAGATGAACGGCCCGACGTCGTCCTCGCTGACGTCGTCGCCCTCTGCGTTGACCGAATGGTACTGCTCGATCTGGGTGTCGCCCTCTACGTCATGGATGGGGTGCGCCACCAGGCCGCAGTTGAGCTGCAAGCTCTCGCCTGAGCCCGCCATGCGCTGCGCGATGCCCGCATGCTTGTCTGCGAGCTTGGCCCTGCTCTCCTCGTGGGCCTCGCAACGCCCGAAGCGGTGCCTCTGAGTGCCTAGCGCGCGCCTGCGCTGCTGGCACATGCCGTCGGCTACCGTGCCGCGCTGCTGGAGCTTGGCCTGCGTGCAGTAGTCCTGCCCCACGTAGGCCTTGATGGCGCCTTGATGCGCAGCCCACCTGCGCTTCTTGAGCAGCGCCCTCACCGGCTCCAAAAACGACATCTGCACCTCCTCGGCGATGCCCTTCTCTGTGGCACACTTCGCGCGGACCCGCCGCTCGATGGCCCTCTCCAGCTTGTACCTGACCGTCTTAGGCGCCACCGTGTGCAATGACACCTGGTCGCCCGCTGGTGTGAGCAGCGTCCACGGCGCAGGCCATGACCAGCCGAGGTCGCGCAGGGTCCTCAAGACTGCCTCTGCAGGGTCTCTGACTGCCGACCATGCCACCGTGCCTGTCGTGGCCAGCCGCGCTGACGCCTTCCTCCATGCCGCGACCATAGCATCCTCGTCCATGGCCCGACTCCATACCACCTCTGCCCACTTCACCACTGGCCGAATGGTGAGGCTCACGGCTGGATCGGCTTCCTCGAGCCACAGGCGCAAGGTGCGATCCTTGCCCATGGCCTCGCCGCTCAGTGCCATCGACATGTTGGTGCGAGCCCTCTCGATGAGCTTCGGCGGCGCTCCAATACAGGCCACCCCGTAGCGTATGGACGGCAAGAAGCCAAGCTTGGCTACCTTGGCCGTGCCAAAGCTGGCGCCCTGCTTCTTAAGGATGCTCAGCTTGGTCCCCCTCGTGACCATGACCCCTACACGCTCCCGCTGCTTGGGCCGCCGCTGTGCAACAACACCGCCCGTGAAGTCCACGCCCAGCTGCACGCCCTCATCTTGGATCTCCAGGCCCCAGTCCTTCGCCCAGAGCTTGAACTTGGCCTTAGCCTGCTTGTCTGCCGTGTAGACATAGCTCTTGCCCTTCTTTGTGACGCCGTTCTTGTGCGTGGTGAAGCGACAGAGGGAGGCCTTCTGCCCCGGCTGATTGAATGCATGCCATCGCAGACCCCTTCGCCTCGTGCACCACCGCCTCCCGCTCGCCCTGCAGGTGGAGCGTGGCGTCGTCGACGTAGAGCTTGACGCACCTCTTGGCCCCCATCCAGGCACGGCCTGGCGTTGACCATGTCCAACAAGATGATGGTGAAGCACTTGAGCGCCCGTATACCACCACGACTGCCTGCAGCCGCTGCCGACCACGTTCGCATCCGTGTAGAAGCCACCATACCATCCAGCGTGACCACCCTCTCCATAGTGAAGATCGAGATCATGAAGTGGAGCACCTGCTCTGGCATCTCCAGCTTGCGCCCGTGCTCCCACAGGCGCCTCATGGTGACGTGCTCGAACGCCTTGGACAAGTCCTTCACCACTGCTGCGTTGATGTGGTCCTCTGGGCAGCTCTCGTCCCTGAGCATGAGGTCCCACATCGCGCCCTCAGCACCTTTGCCTCTGCTAGCCCAGTCATAGGGCCGTGCAACTATCTCTTCCCATTTGCGATACTCATCTGCCATCAACGTTTCCACCACTCTAACCAGGGAGCACAAGAGGACCAGCGGGCGTCGCCCATCCTCGTGCGGCTTCGGCACCAGGAAATAGGCCAGCAGCTCTACCTGGGTGGGCCAATGAAGATGGCGGAGTATGTACTCTGCGAGGTCGACCAGTGCCTGGATGCCTTCCGACGATAGCCACGTCCACCATCTCGGGTGCCACCAGTCCGGGCCTATGCCAATGCGCGTCTTGAACAGCCTGGCTGCCTCCCTGAACCGATCGGCCAATACTCTGACGAGTGGTGCAGGGAAGACTCGTCCTTCCCAAGGTCGGTCATGCTCTCCCCTGCTGTCGGCCCCGTGCGATGCCCAGAGCTGGTACCACTGGTGGGCATGCCCATCCACCAGCGTCTGCCCGTCAAGCAACTCAATTTCGTCCTTCTTGTAGTTCGCAATGGGCGCGGGGGGCCGCTCGGCATGGCGCCAGCGTGCCATGCGGTGCAGGAAGCCTGCTGCACCCTTGCTGCCATCCTTGAGGCGACCCCTCCACGCTTTGGCCCTCTCCTGAGCCACCGCACTCACTATCTTGTTGGCCTGCTTAAGGAGCCATCGTCGTATCTCCATGACTGCGGTGAGCCGCTCCTCAGCGCCATCCTCGCGCAGCCTCCAGTGCTCGACGTCGAAGAGGAGGTGGTCCAGCCACTGTCCCGTGGCCCTGAGCTGCCGCAGGCGGTGTCGCCCTCGGTGCAACGCCTTGTTGAGGCACTCGCGTAGCCATGCCACTCGGATTGGGTCTGGGCGCTTCGCCCTGGCTGCTTGAGCCACGTATATGTGGCTGCCGATCTTGTTGGCCGCCCAGCGCCAGGCCGTGGCCCCCACCGCCTGCCCTGCGCCATCCCTCGCCTTGGGGCCCAGGAGCGGCGTGAGCACTGTCTTCGGCGCATCGCCTCGGCCGCGGTACCGCGGGCGCTCCTCCTCTGGGATCTGGCATATGCCCATGAGCTCCTCCTCTGCCGTGCGCGAGACCTGGCGCCAGTAGTTGTCCAGGTCCCCCATGGTCAAGTCTGCCCGCGTGGTTGATCGGCCACGACGGCCACTGCTGCGGCTGCGGCGCACACCCGACTGGCAGCGCCATGGGGGAGGCACGCGGCTTGATGAAGCGCAGCACCTTGGCCTCCCTGGGCTGCTTCAGGCAGCGCATCTGCACTGGCCAGTGCGGGGTGACCTCACTGTCCCCCACCCTCTCTGCCTGGCTGAGGGCAGGGCTGAGGCCCTTGGCGACCACGACGTAGTCGATCTCACGTCCTCCCCCGATGCTGTCGCATGTAACCTTCCAGTAGTGTGGAGCACTCCTCCCACGTCTTGGAGCCAGCCCGACTCGTGCAAGGTGCGGGTATCCATCTGCACGGCCATGCCAAGAATCCAGGGGACGGCGTGCATCTCTATGAGCTCGCCAATGCGGTCCAGGATCTGCAGGCTGCGTTCAGACAGCCCTTCGCCTGTCCACATGTATGCCGAGACCAGCAGCACGCCTCCTGTACCCCACAACGGGCATCGGGCCGCACATATGCGCCCTCGCGTGCCTGTGGGTGAGCAGACCCGCTCCTGCTGGCCGTATGCGTAGGTGAGGCCGATGGACTTGGGCACCGCGATGTAAGTCCCAGCGCTGCGGCCCCCACGAGCTCCCGTCGCACTGGGCGCCATCGCAATCGCCCATGCTCGCTTGCAGGTCGCTGCCTGCACCTCCTCCTTCCATTTGTCGTCCAGCCTGTGCTCCTCGCCCAGGATGCAGCTCGGCTTGGTGATGTACTCGTCAACGAACGCGATGCCCTTGGCCCACGTGTTGCAGTTGGCGGTGTAGATCTCAATCCCCTTCGAAAGCTTGCCTCGTCTTCGTTTGCGCCTGCCCTGTTCAGCATGCGCTGCGGTAGCACCTCCTCCATGTGTTCGCGTCGAGGCGGGCCTGCCCCGCGCGCTGTTTACCCTGTGGGTGCACCAGGGGGCAGGTGCCATCACAATCCTTGGCGACTGAGCCCAGCCCCTCGCGCTGTTTACCTCGCGGGTGCCCCTGGGGGCTGGGACTTGCGTTCTAGGATGACCCACAGGTAGCGCCTCGCGTGGGCACTCATGACCCCCGCACTCCTCTTCAGCCCACGGCTGGCCTGCGCAGTCAGGCACGCCGTGGACGCTTGGCTGCCCCAGCGGGTGCGCACTCGCAGAGCTTACGCACACGATCAGCCACAGAAAGGTTGTCGCCCATGTTCTGCGCCATGACGTCCTTGTCGATGCCGACGCCCTTGCACCAGTCCTCGAAGAACTTCTCCTGCGCTTCGGCATCGAGGTCCATCGGGTCCGTGGCCTCAGGCTCCGCTAGTGGGCCCCCTGGCGCTGGGACGCTGGCGAAGTGGTCCTTGTACTTCTCCCGCAGGGCCCGCTCGCTCTCGCGGGCCTTCCACTGGGCATCTTTGAGCTCATTGTACGCCTGCATGAACTCAGAATCCTCCTTCGCCCTGTCGGTGATCTCCGACGCCTTGGCCGACATCTGCTGCAGCAGCACCACCCGCTTCTCGGTGAGGGCGCGCAGCTCGTCGGCCCGCTCCTGTGCCGCCTGCTCTGCCGCCTTGAAGTTGGCCTGGGCGTCGGCCAGCTCCTTGCGCGTCTCTTCCACGTGCTCGGCAGCTCTGGCCACCGTGCGCTCCTTGTGCGTGATCTTGCACTGCACCGCACGCAGCTGGTCATCCAAGCCCTTGTCTGGCTTGGCCGCCTCAGCTGCCTGGGCCGCCTTGGCCTTGGCTCCCTGCACGGCTGCCAACACCTCCTGGTCCACCACGCCTTCCTTGTGGAGCTTCTCGCAGAGCCGCGCCAGGTCCTCGACGTGGTTCGCTGCCGGCGCCTGGGCCGCTGCCCTTGGCCTCGGGGCTGCCGCCAGCGCTGGCCACTCCCCTGGCTGCGTCCACCAGCCCTGGGCCCTCGGCTGCGTCCACCATTGTGTCTGCCGCTGGCCCTGCTGCTTGCCCTGCTGATTCGGCGTCCGCTTGCGTTTGTTCTGTTGCCACTGGTACGTAACCACCGATGACGTCCTGGGGGCCGCCTTGCCACAGCCTCGGCACCAGGTCCTCCACGGGTGGTCGTCGGTTGTGCCGCACGCACACGCCCACAACGCGCCTGGGTACCCGTCTGCTCCCATGCGCGCGAAACTCGATTGTTGACAGTTGTCAGTTGCTTTGGCCTCAAAGCGCGAATCCCCTCGCGCTCAGAAGTCGCCGACCGAAGCCGACTCGCGGTCGTCGGGCGGTTCATAGCCTTGAGCCAAAATGGCTACGGCTAATCGTGCTCATTTCTATTCGTGTTCGTTTCTAATTGTTCCTGGCCCCCTAGTGGCCAGGAAGAGGCCCAGGATAGAACAATTAGAAATGACAGGATCTTGGCCCCCAAAAAAAATCAAATAACGTTCGAATACTTAGAAATGAACCATGTGTACGTCGAGCTGCAGCGGTGGGAGCTTGATCTCACCAGGTTGCAACGCCTTGGCTCCGTTGCCCGAGGCCCCACCATCCAGCTCGCACGCTGGTGGGCAAGATGGCCGAAGCCGACGCGGGCTTCAGGCTCCGCATGAGCAACCGGCAGCTCGTGCGGGGCTGGGCAAGCAAGTGCAGGCGAAGCTCGCGTCGCCGGAGGCTCAGATCGCCTTCTTCAGAGTGGCTGGCAAGGGCGGCGGTCAGCCGTTGAAGCCCGGCGCAAAGGCCAAGGCCGGCGCGCCCCGTGGAGGAGGGCGGACCAAAGGCAAGGACAAGGGCAAGAACTCGGAGCAGCCGAAATTCTGCAAATTCTGCCTTGCTTTGGGTCTGCTTGATCTTCTCCTTCCTCCTCTTCCACTTCCGCCCGTCCCTTGAGCGACGACAGCGGGCCTTGAGGTGACCAGGCATTCGTGGACCGCGAGCATTATGATGAAGTTGCGTGGGTGTCACCACTAACTTCTTGTGACCAGGCATTCGCGCACCGCGAGCACGATGATGAAGTTGCGTGGGTGTCGCCACTAAATTCTTGATCTGTTCCATCTGAACTGTTTGGGGCCCCTGCCTCACCCGTTCCTCCAAGGCCGGAGGCTGAGACATCCTTGCGGCGCTCGATTTGACATCGCCGCTGCGGGAGAGGAGGAGCGTGGAAGAACAGGAGCGGACACTCGTGACATGATCGTTGCTTCCGAGGGCGCGTTGCGACATCCGGGTTCTAGGAGTCCACAGTAGAGTAGGCAAGGCAGCGTAAGACATAACCAATGTTTGCATATCTATGCTGTTGGGGGCCATGGGTGTCTTCCGTGCTCGGTGCCCTGTCTGCTCTGCGTGCCGACTGCAGGACGGCACCGATGCATTTGTTGTCTCTCTTGACATAGTGCTGTGCCGTGCGGTGCAGGAGGCATAGCAGGCAAAGCAAGGCATCATAGCTCTGCCAAATTAGGAGCTTAGGGAGCGCGGGGAGAGTGGCAGCACCAAGCCCACGCCCATCTTGATTATGCTAGTTTGCCGGCACCGTTTTTTTTCAAACCGAGGACCAAACACGCAGGATGGTTGGGCAAATGCTTTGTGACGGCTTCCTCGATGGCACTACCAGCCATTTATATGAATAGGCGTCAGGAAACCCTACACTGGCCTAGCACCAGAACAACTTACGCGCGTACTGCGTAGAACCGGCCATGGCTGGGACAAGCCGACTGTGTTTAAAACGAGGGGCATCGTACATTGCAGCCATGTGTATTTACACTCATCGGTGCCATTTCACGGTGCAGATGCAGTCACAGCGTGCACTTGAGGCCCAGCTCCAGCGGCTGGCACTCCATGCTCTCGTTGATCTTGCCTCGTGGTAGGTGAAACACTGCGAGCATCGCACAACATCGGGCGGATCGGCTGCGCCGTCTATCGTGTCTATGCTACAAGCAATGAGAAATGGGAAATAACACCAAATGGATGACAGGGAGGGTGGAGGACTGGGGGGAGGAGAGAAGGAGGAGGAAGAGGAGGAGGAGCGACGATACCACTACCGACGAATTATGGCCGAAGCTTGTACGGCCTCTGGCATTAGGGAAGGGCTGCCCCAGAACTTCACGTCCAGGTCAGTGTGCCGGCACCGCTTTGGCCCAAGATGAAGCGGCCAAAGGAAAAACACCAATTGCCCGTCCCGGTGAGGAAGAGGAGTCAGTCTCAGCGGCGACGCTGGCTGCTCCTCCGACCCTCCATTACCTGTAACACCCTTCTTAGGCTGAAACTCAGGATCCCGGTAGATAGCAGCCTCCACCGTTCTCTGCCCATTCCTCCTGCCACCGCTCGCTCATCGACTCTTGCGTCTGATAGCTCAGGGAGCCTCATTGACCACGTTGTCCAGGAAGCAGAAAGTCAGGCAGGGACAGGACGGGGATTTTTCCATCCAAAGGGGGGCGACTGGAGGCCCTGGGGCATCAGAAAATACCAAGACAGGCCAAGAGTGCCCCAAGCGGCCCCCAAGACGGTCCAAGGGGGTCCCCAATCGCCAAACGATCGGTCCAAAACGCGTTCACGCACTCCAGACTGCCCAGGAGGCCTCCAGGACGCCCCAAGAGCACTCCCAGAGGGCCCCAAGACATCAAGTTCATTAATTTCCCATTGTTTTTTGTTAAGATTGGGCGTTCACGCTGTTTCCACTTCCCACCACTCAAAGACGGCGCAAGAGGCCCCCATGATCTCCCCAAGGCGGCCGAAAAGGCCTCCAAGAGGACCCCAAAACAGTCCGAGAGGACCCCAAGACAGCCCAAAACGCTTCCAAGACGGCCCATGAGGCCCCCAAGACGGTTCCAAAGCGGTCTCAGACGGGGGACCCGGACGGACATTTCGAGCCCTCGGCCCCGAGAGGCTCCCACGAGGCCCCAAGAGGTTCCCGAGAGGCTCCACGTGAGCCTTCCGAACAGACCCCAAGAAGCATCCCTGAGAGCTCTGGCCAACGTCAGCGTCGTCGTCGTCGCCGCCGCCGCCGTCGTCGCCGTCGTCTCCCATCAGGGTCGCCGGCACCAGCCGCAAGGCCTTCGCAATACTGCAAGACGGTTCCATGTGCTATCGGAGCCCCCTCGGGACCCCCCCAAGAGGCCAAAATCCTTTACAATCCTGAGGCAAACCAATGATGTGTGCCTTCTCGCCTTTTTGCTGCCGATGCGCTTTTAATGCCTCAGGTTGCTCCAAGATGGCCAAATAGAGGCTCTCCCTGACGGCCCCAAGAGGGCCCCAAGAGAGCTCCAAGAGGCGATTGTGAGTGCCCCAGGAGGGGAGACCTAGTTGGAGGACCCCCGCCCCCTTTTAGTCGATGGCCTCCAAGATGGCCCCAGGAGGACCTGCAGGGCTCCCAAGAGGGCCCCAAGAGAGCTCCAAGAGACCCCAACACCCCACACGAAAGAAACCCAAGAAGGCCCCAAGAGGGCCCCGAGAGAGCCCCAAGAGGACCCAAAGAGGGCCTCATGAAGACCCCAGCTGACTGCAAAAGTCCTCGGCCTCATTCTCGTCCTCCTCGGCCTCGTCCACCTCGTCCTCTCCTCTTCCTCCTCCTCCTCCTCCTCCTCCTCCTCCTCCTCGTCATCCGTTTCGTTCTCGCCCGCTTTAACGTGCTCCACCTCGTCGTCGTCTTCGTCCTCCTCCTCGTCCTTGCCCTCATTGTCCTCTTCGTACGTGTCCTCCTCTTCCTCTCCTTACTCATCCTCCTCCTCCTCCTCCTCCTTCTCCTCCTCCTCCTGTTCCTCCTCCTCGCCTCCTCGTCGTCTACATCCTCGTCCTCCTCCCCCCCTCCTCCTCCTCCGCCTACTCCGTTCACCATGGCTGCCTGCACTGGTTCACTGCATGTGTCTTTTCCTCCCATGCCCGGTCAACCCTCGCGGGCAGCATTTCTGGATGGGCTGGCGGGGTGGGGAACCACGACGCGTGAATAGTCCTAGATCGGGCCTGTCCCCCTACAGGCGGATGTTGGGTGACAAATTGAAAATACCCAAAAAATACTCCAAACATCGTCAGCCATGGTAAACAAAAATCGTCCCCTGGTTATTTTTGACTATTTTGAGATCTTCCTCCTGTAAAGGGACAGGCCCGACTTAAGAATAGCTTGCCACTGGTCCAAGAAGGCAAGGCTCAGGGCTAGACTCTTTATATTCCCACGGCCGTCCAAAGCGGCCGCAGGCGTTTGCGCCGCGTGCTCCAAGTTCGAACGATCCCCTGAAGGCATTTGTTTTATGTGTGAGCAGCGAATATGGGCAGCGAAGTGCCTCCGGGGAATGCGCAGAGAAGCGCAACACAGCAAAGCGCAATCTAGTATTAAGTGCTCTGTCTGGAGTGGCACCTTTAGCCCCCACAGCTTGAACACACAGAACAACACACACAAACACACACGCACACAAAGCGGCGTCCTGCGCGGCGTGTCGCGGGAAATCCTCATCTCTGAAGGCCTCCCCCTTTCCCGTAAGCCACCAGCCCCCAGCCGCATCATCATCCTGGTGAGCTGCATCACAAATGCCACGTGCGCTGTGCTTTGACGTCGCGGTGGTTAAGCAGCAGCTCATCTTTGATATCGCGCACGTACTGGCGGGTCTGGCGGAGATCGCGCAGTATGGTCACGATTGCGGATGTGCCCTTCAACGCGGACGTTCCCTTGACGAGCTCTTCAGCTGTTAGATGCCCGTCTCCGTTGTCGATTAGCTCAAACAAGCTCGAGGCATCTTGGACCTTGATCTCCTGGGCGCGAAGCCAGATCTGCACCCACTCGTTGCGGCATATATCATTGAACTCATCCTTGGTGACGGTACCGCTGCAATCCTGATCGAACTCGGCGAAGAGGGCTTGCATCTTCGTGGCGTGAGCCTTCTCTCGTCGCAACGCTTGTCGCACCAAGATTGCATCATCCTGCTGAACCACCTGCAACGTCTCATGGATAAAGACTGCCCCGACAACTCCTGCTACAGCGATCCCGACGATGCATTTGTGCAGGATGGCATAATACACAAACGCCTCACCGACGTTCTCCATCAACACTCTGGTAGGAGCTACCCAATTGGCGAACGTTAGCTCGAACATGGTGAGGAATGAGCGCGAGAAAGATCCAAAATATACGAACAAGTCTTCTTTGGCAACGTCGTCAGTGGTTTCAGAAAAGAAGTACAACTCCACGAGGGCCTCGTTTATAACGAGAGCCAGCGCACAATGAATTACAAAGAATAGCAGGACGGCCCATACGGCAGTGATCACGCAACTTTGGAGAGCTGTCACCATGATAAAAGAGCTGTCCGACATGTCACCGCGCATAAACCTCAGAAGACGGGCTATCCGAAACACCCGTATCAGACGGATATTCCGGAAGATCTGGGGATTGATGCTGGAGTTGAAGACTAAACTGAAAATCCAGGACAGAACGAGAACCAAATCGATCCAGTTCCATGCGTTGCGTGTAAACTCACCGCGTTCCCCCGCGATCTTGATCAGGATCTCGATCGTGAAGAACACACCGAAGCACCAGTACGCGGCTCTGAACACCAACTCGGCATCCGGCCATACCTCCTCGGCGGAGGGAGTCTCCGCACCCGCGTACCCGATATCTGCTGCTATCTCGAAGCCGTTGTACTCGGCCTCTGCGGCAATGAACAGCCCGTTCGCGACGATCGCCGCGGCGACCACGAGCTCAAACGCCACGCTCCCGGCGAGCCTCCGCAGGCGGCCCTCATCTTGCCGCTGCAGACCCTGCCTGGACAGCTTCATGGTCAGGGAATTTCTCTTCCGCGGCGTGGTGTGGGCCGTGTGGGCACCTAAATTCGACTACGCGCAAGAGTGACCCTGGGTAAGAGTGGCCTTTGGTGCGCGGTTCATTGGGGGCCGCCGGGGGACCACACACGAGCGCGCAAGACGCTAATACCGCATCGCGTTCGGCGATCGGGGGGCCCATTGGGCCCGCACCAAAGGTCACTCCGGCGAAAAATCACTCTTACGTGGAGTCGATAAATGGAGACGGCAGACACGCGATGACGAGGCCTAGCAGCACGCGGTGCCCCAGACCGGCCGCGACCGCAGTCGGGCAGGCGCTCCTCGCCACAAGCGGACGAGGCCCGCGGGGGGGCCGACAGCGAACCCTGCAACCTACACGGGCAAGAACCGCTGCCAGTCTTCGGTCTCCCGATTTTCCGCCCCCAGCTGGGTCCTTCTGGGCCGTCGCAGCCTGCGCCCGGCGAGCCAGCGAGGGCGGGGGGCGAGCAGGGCGGCGCGTGCGAGCTCGTCGGCGCCGACCCGCAGCCGCCGTGGACGCCCCCTTGATGATGGGCATTTTTTTCACCACCACTACCATAAGTAGGACGGGGGAGAAGGGGGGATGAGGAGGTGCTCCTCCTCCTCCTCCTCCTCCTCCTCCTCCTCCTCCTCCTCCTCCTCCTCCTCCTCCTCCTCCTCCTCCTCCCCCTCCCCCTCCTCCTCCTACCTATGGTAGTGGTGGTGGAAAGTGGGCGCATCACTTGACCGTCGCAGCCCGCTCGCGGCGCGCAGGGCGGCGCGCCCGCGGCCACGGGCGGCGCGTGCCCGCCCGCGCCGGGCGCCGCGCCCGCGAGGGCGCCGCGCAGCTCCCGCTGCAGCCTCTCCACCTCGTCCAGGAGGCACGACACCTCGGCGGGTCTCGCTTTAGGTCGGGCGTGTCCTCCTACAGGGGGATCTTGGAGGAAAAATAAAAGATGGTCAAAACATGCACAAAACATACGCAAACATAGCCAAATGATACCAGAGAAAAACCAAAATCAGGGCTATAATTAGGGCTAGGGGGCTATAGGGCTATGGGGCTATTGAGCTATAGGGCTATAGAGCTATGGGGCTATAGAGTTGTAAGGCTATAAGGCTATTGGGCTACAGGGCACCCCTGGGGCACCCAGGCACCCCCGGGCACTCGGGCGTGCAGCGAAAATCGCGGCCAACCTCACTCCCGGGCACCCCCGGGCACCCCCGGGCACCCGGGCGTGCGGCGAAAATCGGCGGCAAACCTAACCTAACCATATGAATGCGCCAGGACCCCTACAGAGGCAAGCTCTGATTGGGGAAAAATCGTCCCCAGACTATTTTCTTACTCTCTTGAATCTTCCCGCTGTAGAGGGACGTGCCCGACTTCAGTCTTGCTCGAGGGCAGCGGGTCCTGGGCGCCCCGAGGCTCTCCCCGAGGCCAGCTTCCCACAGATTCGGCAATTGTCTCACGGCCCCGGGGCCCCGAGGGAGGGCCCCGGGGAGCCCGAGCAGGGCGAAAAGCATGCGCGCGTGGGAGCGTTTTCTTGTTCGGCGTTTCGACGGTGAGCGGAAGGGGAGGGAGGGAGGGGTCCTGCTCTGGACCTCTGCTTAGTGCGGCTGTTTGCAGCAGTGCGACCTACGGGGGGAGGCTCCGCCCGCTCGAAACAGGCGCCAAGAAACAGCCAAGATCTACTCCACGGTGGGGGGGGAGGGGGGGGGGCGAGGGCCCGCGCCGATCGGCAAAACAACGAATAAAAAAGATCACCATGGGAGCCCGAACACGGTGGGACCTGCTTCCCTCGGGACCCCTTTCGGGGATGGACAGACCCCCCTTTAGCAAAACGTGGTTTAGTGAAAACGACCTCTGGCCCAAACCTGGCGGGCGCAAGCCTGTAAAACGACGGCCACGGCGCCCCCTCGAGAACCGAAGAAGGACATTGCATTGATCGACGTGTCATGGTGGGGGTTCTGTCCAGCCCCGACCCTCTCGTTCCCTGGCGTTAGGTCGGGCGTGTCCCCCTACGGGCGGACTTTGGGCGATTGTCTTACAATTTTTTAACAAAAACTCAAACATGCCCCAACACATACAACAAATTATCCTGGAGAAGGTCCAAACCATATGCAGTTGTGGGTACCCTAATTGTAACTATCTGCTTCGGTGAAGCTCCCTATGGGGCCACGAAGCGCTGCACTGGGCGGGGGGGAACGCTGTATTGTATGGGTGGTGTGCCGAATTGGGTTTCCGGGACGCATGCGGACGGTCTCATTGAGGGCTTCGGTGGAGCTCCCTATGGGGCCACGAAGCGCTCTATAGAGTGAAAATGCCAAATTGGGTTTCCGGGACGCATGAGGACGGTCCCACTGGGGGCTTCGGTGGAGCCCCCATATGAGGCCACGAAACGCTGCACTGCGAGCGTGAAAATGGCAAGTTACATTTCCCGGACGCATACGGACGGTGGCACTGGGGCCTTGGGTGAAGCCCCCTATGGGGCCACGAAACGCTGCACTGGGTGAAAATGCCAAATTGGGCTTCCGGGACGCATGCGGACGGGGGCACAAGGGCCTTCGGTGGAGCTCCCTATGGGGCCACGAAGCGATGTACTGGGTGTGCGGGACGCATGCGGACGGTAGCGCTGGGACCTTTGGTGGGGCTCCCTATGGGGCCACGAAGCGCTGTACTGGGTGTGCGGGACGAATGCGGACGGAAGCGCTGGGACCTTCGGTGGGGCTCCCTATGGGTCCACGAAGCGCTGTACTGGGTGGGTGAAACGCAAGGAGGAGGGGGAGGAGGGCCACGAAACGCTGTGCTGGGTGTGCGGGACGCATGCGGACGGTAGCACTGGGACCTCCGGTGGAGCTCCCTATGGGGCCACGGAGCGCTGTACTGGGTGTGCGGGACGCATGCGGACGGTAGCACTGGGACCTTCGGTGGGGCTCCCTATGGGGCCATGAAGCGCTGTACTGGGTGGGTGAAACGCAGGGAGGAGGGGGAGGAGGGCCACGAAACGCTGTACTGGGTGTGCGGGACGCATGCGGACGGTAACGCTGGGACCTCCGGTGGAGCTCCCTGTGGGGCCACGAAGCGCTGCACTGGGTGTACGTGACGCATGCGGACGGTAGCACTGGGACCTTCGATGGGGTTCCCCATGGGGCCACGAAGCGCTGTACTGGGTGGGTGAAACGCAAGGAGGACGGGGAGGAGGGCCACGAAACGCTGTACCAGGTGTGCGGGACACATGCGGGCGGTAGCGCTGGGACCTTCGGTGGAGCTCCCTATGGGGCCACGAAGCGCTGTACTGGGTGTGCGGGACGCATGCGGACGGAAGCACTGGGACCTTCGGTGGGGCTCCCTATGGGGCCACGAAACGTTGTACTGGGTGGGTGAAACGCAGGGAGGAGGGGGAGGAGGGCCACGAAACGCTGTACTGGGTGTGCGGGACGCATGCGGACGATAGCACCGGGACCTTCGGTGGAGCTGCCTATGGGGCCACGAAGCGCTGTACTGGGCGTGCGGGACGCATGCGGACGGTAGCACTGGGACCTTCGGTGGGGCTCCCTATGGGTCCACGAAGCGATGTACTGCGTGGGTGAAACGCAGGGAGGAGGGGGAGGAGGGCCACGAAACGCTGTACTGGGTGTGCGGGACGCATGCGGACGGTAGCACTGGGACCTCCGGTGGAGCTGCCTATGGGGCCACGAAGCGCTGTACTGGGTGTGCGGGACGCATGCGGACGGTAGCACTGGGACCTTCGGTGGGGCTCCCTATGGGGCCACGAAACGTTGTACTGGGTGGGTGAAACGCAGGGAGGAGGGGGAGGAGGGCCACGAAACGCTGTACTGAGTGTGCGGGACGCATGCAGACGGTAGCGTTGGGACCTCCGGTGGAGCTCCCTATGGGGCCACGAAACGCTGTACTGGGTGGGCGGGACGCATGCGGACGGTAGCGCTGGGACCTTCGGTGGGGCTCCCCATGGGGCCACGAAGCGCTGTACTGGGTGGGGAGGCGAGGAGGGCCACGAAACGCTGTACTGGGTGTGCGGGACGCATGCGGACGGTGGAGAAGAGGAGGGGGCAGAGGAGGAGGGGAACACGCGGGGACCGTCTCTTCAAAACGAATACCCAACACCACAGGATTATTGGGAACAACCCCCTGACTTTTTTTTTCTATCATAAAATATTCCTCCTGTAGGGACACGCCCGACTTAAGTCCAGCCCCGACCCGCTCCTTCCCTGCCGGCACCTCCGCGTCGTGCGCGGCGACGGCCTCCGCGACCAGGCGCCGGAACCGGGCGCCCCTGCAGGAGGGGCCTGGCCCACCGGAGTCGTGGGCGGCAGCGGCGCGGGGGCCGCCGAGGCTCATGGGGCGCGCGCGCGCCGGGCGCCCTCCCTGCGCGGCGCGGGGCCCACAGACGACCACGCCGACTGCGCCGGCGGCGGCGGCGGGGGCGCGGCGGGCCTGGCTGCGAGGCCGCTGCTGGCGGCCCGTGCCGGGCCTGGCTCGAGCCTGCCAGTCGCCGAGGTGCCTACGAGGGGTCGGCGGTGCGGCGAAGCCAAGGACTCTGCGCGCGAGATTCCCCCTGGTGAGCGTTTTTTGTTCGGCGCCTAGACACTGGGCGGAAGGGGGAGGGGAGGGAGGGAGGGGTCTGGCTCTGGACCTCTGCTTTAGTGCGACTGTCTGGAACCGTGCGTCCTGTGGGGGAGACTCCACCTGCTCGAAACAGGCGCCAAAAACAGCCGAGACCTACTCCACGACGGGGGGGGGAGACGGGGGGGGGGTGCGAGGCCCGCGCCGATCGGCAAAAGAATGAATGAAGAAAAACGCTCACCTGGGAGCCTGCCATGGCTCCCGATCTGCGGGCTCGGAGGAGGGAGGAGGAGGAGGAGGAGGGAGAAGGAGGAGGAGGAGGAGGAGGAGAAGGGAGGAGGAGGAGGAGGAGGAGGACGAGGAGGAGGTCGAGGAGGAGGACATATTTCCTCCTCGTCGCACCACGCGGCGTGTCGGCAGGGCGGGCCAGGCGTGTCGCCCGAGGGACTCCCTCGCCACGCAGAGCCTGGCCACACGGACGGAGGGCGGCCCGCTCTCGAAAGGTAACTCCAAGGGGGCCCAGGGACACACGCAAATAAATACACACTAATACAATGATTCCACAGTTTTTCCCTATATTTTCTGGGTTTTCGTCTTCCAGCCCAATTTCCCAAATTTTCCCATACTTTTCTGGAAGTCGACGATGAATTGTGTCTGTGTGTTTTTCCCTCCTGAGGAACTTCGATCGGAAGGCGTCCCACAACTAGAATGAGATCGGGCGGGTCCCCCTACAGGCGGATGATGGACCAAAGCTATAACAAAATATAAACAGAAAACAGAACATGCTCAAACATAGTCAACAAAATCGTCACCAGACTATTTTTGGACTATTTGCGTCTATCCCTCCTGTAGAGGGACAAGCCCGGCTGAATTCAAGGATGGAGGGCGACCCGGTTTCAAAATGTAGCTCTCGCCTTAGCACCGCACATGCTCGACCTTCAGTTACCCCATCGCTACAAAGACGGAGGGCATCCCGCTTCCAAGATGTGGCTCTCGCTAGCGCCGCGAACACTCGTCCTAAGAGCACCCCACTGGCACAACAGTGGAAGGCGGCCCATTGCCAAAATGTGGATCTCGCCTTAGCGCCGGGCACACTCGTCTTAAAAACGTCAAGATGCTGCAATAATGGAGTGGCAGGTTTTCAAAATGGCAGCGTCAGCATCATCAATATCATCATCATACCTCATTATCCCTCCTCCATTATTCCTCCTCCGCCTCCTTCTCCTCATCATCAGGATAATGGTCATAACTTCATCTTCTTATCCATCCTCATCATCATCATCATCATCATCATCATCATCATCATCATCATCATCATCATCATCATCATCATCATCATTGTCAACCGCATTATTGCCATCAACATCATTATTATCATCAGCATCCTCGTCTTCGTCATCATCATCATAATCAGCATCTGCATCAGCATCAGCATCGACATCATCATAATCAGCATCAGGCATCAGCATAATCATCATTTTCAATCTCATCAATATGAGCACAAGCCCCAGCACCAGCAGCAGCATAAACATCAGCATCAGCATTATCATCATCATACCTCCTCCTACCTCCTCACTTATTCCTCCTCCTTATCTTCCTCCTCGTCATCATCAGGATCATCATGTTTCGCATCGCCATCATCATCTCCATCAGCATCAGCATCAGCATCATCACCATCACCAGCACCAGCACCAGCATCACCATCACCATCATCATCATCACCATCATCATCATCATCATCATCATCATCATCATCATCATCGTCATCGTCATCGTCATCGTCATCGTCATCGTCATCGTCATCGTCATCGTCATCATTATCATCCACATATCTGCTTCTCCCTCATTCCTTCCTTGCTTCCTTCATTCATTCATTCATTCCTTATCCTCCTCCTCCTCCTCCACCTCCACCTCCTCCTCCTCCTCCTCCTCCTCCTCCTCCTCCTCCTCCTCCTCCTCCTCCTCCACCTCCCCCTCCTCCTCCTCCTCCTCCTCCTCCTCCTCCTCTTCCTCCTCCTCCTTCTCCTCTTCCTCCTCCTCCTCCTCCTCCCTCCCCTGCGAGCAGACGAACCGAGGAGGGGAGGTCCTGTCATGGACCACTCAGGTCTGACGCCGAGGCAGCGCGTGAGCGGGTGGTCCGGCGCGCAGGTCTCGAGGAACCACGCGATGGTGGCTGGGCGCGCCCCGGGCGACGTCGGCGTCGGGGGGGCACGCGAGGAGGAGGAGGAGGAGAAGGAGGAGGAGGAGGAGGAGGAGGAGGAGGAGGAGGAGGAGGAGGAGGAGGAGGAGGAGGAGGAGGGAGGAGGTGCACGTTTTACCCTGGGGCCGTAGGCGACCCGAGGAGGACGGGAGGAACATGAGGAGGAGAACGGAGGAGGAGAGGAGGAGGAGGAGGAGGAGGAGGAGGAGGGGAGGAGGAGGGGAGGAGGAGGAGGAGGAGGAGGAGGAGGAAAGACGGAGGAGGAGGAGGGAGGAGGGAGGGGAAAAAAGGAGGAGGAGGAGGAGGAGGAAGAGGAGAAGGCAAGTGACGGTCAAGTGATGCGCCCACTTTCCACCACCACTACCATAGGTAGGAGGAGGAGGAGGAGGAGGAGGAGGAGGAGGAGGAGGAGGAGGAGGAGGAGGAGGAGGACGAGGAGGAGGAGGAGGAGGAGGAGGAAGAGGAGAGAAAGGAGGAGGAGAAGGAGAAGGAGGGAGGAGGAGGAGGAGGCGTCTGAGGCGTCTGACGGTGCGGCTAGATCCAGCTGGCCCTGCTACCGAGGCGGTCGCCCCCACTGAGGGAGCCGAGGGCTGAGCGTATGCCCAGCCAGGATTTCGAGGGGCGCCCAGCGTGACGACGAGAGAACGCCAGGGCCCGAGAACCAACACCGAGAGAGGCGGATCCAGCCGCGGCGACGCCAACCAGCCGAACCAACCGCCTATCCGTGCCACCGCCGCCCGCGGCGAGGCGCGCAGCAGCTCGGATCACGATCGCATCGCGAGGCAAAGCGGGCTCGCGGGGTCGAGGGTGACAGGGGCGCGAAGACCGCAGCCCCACCGACCCAGGCGAGCCCGCCACAAGGCCTCACGCCTCTGGAGGCGCGCCGCCGCTCTCCTCGCCGAGCAGCTCGCCGCGGAGCCCGAAGCGCAAGGTCCCCGCCTGATGGGCCAGGACGACCTGGCGCCAATTCTCACCGAACCTCTTGGTCGCCGCCGCACGGACAGCCTCAGGGATGCTATAGAAGAGGCACTCCGCGCCCTGGTCCACGGGGTCGCTGCTCTGCTCACCCATGCCGTCGCTGTCCTTCTTGTTGTCGGGCCCCAGCAAGTCCTCGACCGTCGTCTGCACCTGCTCTGGGACCTCGAACTCCGTTGCGATGGCATCGCCGTCGCTGCCCTTCGCAGCACTGCAGTCGCTGTCTATGTCGCTCTGGGGCCCCAACATGTCTTCGACCGTCGCGTGAACCTGCTTTGAGGCCTCGTACTCCGCTCCGATGTCAGCGCCATCAGCGCCGTCGTTGTCATCCCTGCTGCAAATCCCCAGCACGTCCTCGACCGACGTCTGAACCTGCTTAGAGACCTCGAACTCCCATGCGGTGTCATCGCCGTCGCTGTACTTCCCACCATTGCTGTCGCTGTCCGTGTCGCTCTGGGTTCCCAGCATGTCCTCGACCGTCGCCTGGAACTGCTTTGAGACCTCGAACGCCTCCGTCTTGTTGCTGCCGTGCCAGGCCGCCAGCTTGTCGAACTCGTGCTTCCAGCCCCAGGCCGTGGCTTTGAGCTCCATGATCTCGCTGACGGCGCTGCCGAGGTGGGACACGGTGTCCTGAAGGTCGCTACCCTTGAGGATGCCCGTGTCGTCGCTCTCCGTCTGCGTGTCAATATGTGCCAATGTCCGCAAGGGCCGCGCTTACCGCCGACTCGTCCTCCAGGAGGGGGAAGACAGGCACAGCGGGGGGCCCCAGGCCATCGTGCAGCATCTTCACGTCGCCATCGACGTCGTGCTGCACGCTCACGTCGTACTCCTCGAGGTCCACGCCGTAGCTGTCGAGCAAAGTGCCCTGAAACACCTCAAGGTGGGGCACCAGGTCCTCCTCGCCCTTGCCACGGACGCAGGCCTCCATCTGGGCGAACAGCAGGCGTATCTCCGCCACTGTGACGAAGCCATTGTCGTCCACGTCCAGCTCCGCTAGGCGGCGAAGCACGGACCGAGCAGCCGATCTAGATCCGTCTGGAGGTGGGCGGCGCTCACCTGCTCCTTCATGCAGCCGAGGAGCGCCCAGCGCCCGAACGCCAGCAGGTGAGCCCAGGGGGCCTCGCCGGCCTCGAGCTTCACCCTCTTCTGCGCCTCGAACAGCTTCCTGGCGAGCAGGCGCCGCATCTGCGCGAAGCCAAGCAGCACCGTGGGGTGCGCCGTGGGCTGCACGCTCTCCTCCTTCGTCTGCTTCTTCCGCTTCTCCTTCTTCTTCGTCCTCCCGTTGGTGTTGACCCAGTGCCTGCGGCGGATCGGGGAGCGCGACTCCGAGGGCACCCTCCCGCCTGCATCCACCGTTGGCCTCGAAGATGCCGCCGTCATCCGCGGCGGAGTCCTGGGCCTCTTGTGCTTGTGCTCGAGCCACCACAGCTCCTGGCCATGGTACATGCGCACCTCCTGCCGCATGTCCAGCACCATGGCCCTCGCCACCCTCTGGTCCAGCGGGCCTTCCAACCCCCATCCAAAGGCAGACGGAGCCGACATCGTCGAAGATCACGACCGCCAGCTTGGTCAGGTCGCCAAAGTCCTCGGCGAAGGATCGCACGTCGCGGCCGATGCGGCCGATGACGGTGGAGCCGACGACCAGCTGCAGCATCAGCGCTCCCAGGCGGCAGCCATTGCAGCTCGGCGGGGCTGCGCCGCTGCGAATCGCGCCCCGCCACGGGCCCCGCTCGGGCCCCGCGGCGGCTTGAGCCAAATGGCTACGGGGAGGAGGAGGAGGAGGAGGAGGAGGAGGAGGAGGAGGACGAGGAGGAGGAAGAAGAGGACCAGAGTAAACCCAGGATTCGTCAGGGATGCTGTCATACACCCTCCCGCCCCTGCTGGCGCCCTCGCTTCCCTGAGGGAAACTCCCCGTAAATAGACGAGTGCCCCATGGGCCCGCTATTCAGGCGGGAGCCCCGGTGTGAAAAAGAACTACCAGGAGGAACGCGAATAGGCAGGACCGAAAAGTTAAACGAAGTGTCCAACGAGAGCCCCGTCTTGAAAAGGGGGTGCCCTCCACAAACGTAACAACTGTTGCATGATATGGCACACCGTGTCGTACGTTTTTAGGTAATCTCAGGGCGAGCCCCATTTCGAAAAGGAACCACCCTCCGTTCTTCTGACTCTCTGAAATGTTTAAGACGAGTGAGCGGGGAATCGAACCGGCAACCACATGTTGAATATTCGTCCTGCATCCGTGTGCCTGCATGAAGCTTGTAACACGACTGTGCAAGGGCGCGAACCATAGTTTGAAAACACCCCCCCCCAATCCGCATCAGTGTTGGGAATGTGAAGCTTCGAGGTCGAGAATGGTGAGGGAGTCTCCTGCAAAACGACCGCACCGTCCAACCAACACCTTCGGTGTTGCTGAGAGGAGGAGTGATGTGCCAGGGAGTGCGATGTAGAGAGGAGGAGGAGGAGGAGAAGGAGGAGGAGTAGGAGGAGGAGGAGGAAGAGGAGCGCCAATACCTCCAGAGTTCAAGGGTCGTCCTCCTCCTCCTCCTGTCCTCCTCCTCCTCCTCTTCATCCTCTTCATTCTGCTGCTCTTACTCCTCCTGCGGTCCTGTCGGGAGGATGTCGGTGTAAGGCCCCAGCTCCTCCGCCAGCCCGATCAGCGCTATGGCGTTCGAGTTGAACATCATCTTGAGCGCGACCTGCCGCCCGGCACCCCCGATGCCGTCCCAGGAAGTGTCCAAGACGGTCCAGGATTGCCCCGAGACAGCCCAACGGCGTTCCAAGACGCCCAGGAGGAACTGAAGCTGGCCCAATGAGGCTCCCAAGACGCTTTTAGAGGGCGTCAAGAGGATCCTAAAAAAGGCACCAAGCGGCCAAAGTCCTTGACGTCCCCGGAGTGTTTCAAGGATTTGAGCAGTCTCGCCTTTCGTGCTTCCAACGCTCCAAGAAGGCCCCAGAGCCTCCCAAGATTGTCCCAAGACGGGCCAGGAGGCCCCCGAGAGGGGGCCAAGACGGCCCAGGAGAGCCCAAGAGGAGAGGGCCCTCTTGGGCCCCGAGAGGGGCCCCAAGAGGGGAAACCCAAACTGAAATTCCAATCCTTTTCCCCACAACATGCCCCGCGGACAGCAGGAATGCCCCCGCCAGGCCCCCATTGGCCCCACAAACCCCCCCAAGAAGCCCCAAGAGGCTCCGAGGCTCCACGGGACCCTAAGAAGCCTGGAAAAGGCCTCATGCCCACGGCCAAGGATGAGATCCCTGTGCATCCCTCTCCACTGAAAATCTCAACAAGCGGGCCTGACCGTAACGGCGTGGAACATCTCTTGGCGCAACCAGTGCCCGCATCGGACATCGGCTATCGGAGAAACCAGAATTCAGACTACACGTCGTTCAGTTCTAATCGTGATCATTTCTAACTGTGCTTGTTTCCAAGTGTTACTGGCCCCTAGTGGCCAGGAAGAGGCCCAGGATAGAACAATTAGAAATATAAAGGATCTTGGCCCCCCCCAAAAAATCAAAGACTTTTCGGAGAATTAGGATTGAACAATGTGTACACCGATAACCGTCCACACAGTTTGCCAGGCGCCCTGCGCGTGCTTTGTCAAGGGTCGTGCTTTTTTGTCTGGCTGGGACAGGTGTCCGAGGGACTGCAAATCGATCTCGGATGTGGGCCTCTCCCGCGCCCGCGCCCGCGCCCGCTCGGCGAGAGGACGAGCCCACCGGACCACGAGCAAGACGAGAACGAGAACGATCAGAAAGAAGATCGAGGAAACGTAAGACTCGAGCTTGGGGGGCCCAAAGCTGCCTGGCGGGGCCGCCAGAAAAATGATAGGGCCGAGTCTGAAATTTGACGCGAGCTCGCGCTGCAAGCGTCTCCCAGAAGCCGCACCGCCGAAATCCACGCCGGAACCTCTCACGAGCTGACCTGCGACGCAGCTGCGTCGCCAAAGGCGCCACGCCAGAACGGGTCAAAGAGCGGCGGCAAGCACGAGTTCCGGCAAACTCGAGTCTACGCTTCCCCGAGATGAGAACGAAGAGTGGGGACCAGGGCAACGGGAGGCCCGAGGCAGCAGTGCCCTCGCACTCTGCGCGCCCAGGCACCAGCGACTCCGCCTGCTGCGCGAACCTCTCGAAGGGCGCCGTGCCGTCTCCGGCGACCTCGCCGTTCGAGATCCACCGGGTCAGGGGCCCACTGCTGGCTGGCCGCGCGCAGAAGGGGGTGGGGCGTGAGGGAGGCCTCCTCAGAATGGAGGGGCAAAAGACTGCATGAGCATGGATGATCGGAGGTCCGCGCAAATTTCTTGGGTCTGCGCTGGGCCCCACTGGTGGCGCCTCTGGCGCCGCCCCTAGCTGGCTCCGCGTGCCAGGGAAGGAGGTAGAGCGCCGACCCAAGAAGTATGCGCGGACCTCCTAAAGTGAATGCTGATGTCACCCTTCATATTCGACAAAAGCAGCGGGGCTTGATGGAAGCCCCCCTGCCTCCTGAGAGGCAATTTTTAGCGGGCCCCTACCCCTTCTGCGAAGCCGCGCTGCCTTCTCAGAAGGCCACTCCTCTCGCCCCACCCCATTGTGCGCGACGCCAAGCTAGAGTTCCACACCTCCAGGACCAGCATGCTGGCAAAGGGCGGCCAGTATGGCGGCCTTGGGCGCAGCCCGAAGGCCGCCCACAGCGGCTCCATGGGCCCCGTGTCATGCCCGCTGAAGAGGAGGAACTTGGGCGCACTGCCGTTCAACGCACCCCGTGCAGCCCGCAGCACCTCGCCAACGAATGGCCCTATGCCCAGCCGCGAAAGCGCACGGAAATAGCCGTGCTGCGCGGTGTCCACCGCGGCGAAAACCCGCCGAAAGAGCGCCGCATCATCCGAGAGGAACTCTGGCGGGATCGTGGAGTTGTGCGGCTGGAAAGGCACTGTGGGGCACGCCCTGGACATGAGGCAATCGATGAGGTGCTGGAGAAACCAGAAGCAAGCCTTCGTGGATGAACCGACAGAGGACGGCGCAAGCTGGCGGCACAGGCTGCGAAGCTCCTCCTGATTCTCCAAGGCGCCCCAGTAACGCTTCTCGGCCTGCTCGGCTGCCACTGGGCATGCATTTTCGACCAGCATGTTCTCTTTGTGTGAGTCCATGGTGTTCAACGTCAGGTGTGACAATCGGCCGGTGTCCACGTCACCGTAAACGCCAGTGAAGAGGGCCATCCCTGACTGACGGGTGCGCGGAAAGTCGGTGCTCCTCAGGAAGAATACCCGCGCGAAGGCCTCCGGGGAGACGCCCGCCAACGCCCTGGGCAAGAGGCCTTCCCGGTCCACGTATGCCTCGCGCAGGCGCCGGCCGTTCTGGAACTCCATGTCAAAGCCGGTCTTTGATGGGCCTGTTTTCCACCACCACCACCATAAGTCGGAGGGGGAGAGGGTCCTCCCCCTCCTCCTCCTCCTCCTCCTCCTCCTCCTCTTCCTCCTCTTCGTCCTCCTCCTCCTCCTCCTCCACCTCCCTCCCCCCTCCAACTTATGGTGGTGGTTGTGGAGAACAGGCCCATCAGTCTTGACCAACTGGCCCATCATGCAGTTGCCGCCCCCTGGCAGCGCGTTGCGGCCAGGCAGGTAGGCCGTCCGGAAGAAGGGCCCCAATGGACCACTCGCGTCGTGCACGCCCGTCACCGTCCGCCGATCCCCCGATCGCTGGGGGGCGAGGAAGTGTGCGGATGTTTGGCTGTCCCCCTCCCCCCTGCCCCCCCTCCCCGGGTGTCCAAACTCCCGCGGCAGGGAGGGGGGAGGGGCGGCACGCTCACCAGAAGTCGCCGACTGGACTCGGTTGCTGCGACAAGCCTCCGAAGGGGCTCCTGCTCGGCCCAGGGTGTCCTCGACGGCTCCCCAAAATGCCCAAGGCAGCCCAATAAAGGGCATGACAGCGTCCGCTGTGGGCCCAGTATGGCTCAACAGGCTCCATGATGATATCGCAGCGAGCCCCTGAGGTACAACACTCTCGGCCTCCCCATGGATTGTCGCATGTTGTTTTCAGTTCCAACGTCTCGGCTCCAAGTAAGCCCAACATGACCTCCAGAAGCCTCCGATAAAGTCCCAAAGAAGGCGCACAAGAGGCCGCAGACGGTTCTAGCGGCCCCAAAGGTGGCCCCATGCTAGTCCCCGGCCGTCAGCTGGCCTCAAAAAAAACATTACGGTTCTAAGACGCCCCCAAATCCATCCAAAATGGTTCCTAGACGACCTCCAACGGCACTGTGACTCTCCAAAGCGATCCCGAGACCACGAATGGAAACCCAAAGGCCCAAAAATGATCCCCGACAAGGCCCCAAAAGACCCCAGCTGGCCTCCAACATGGTTCCAATACGCACGGCGTTGTGGTCAATGGCATCGCGAAAACACTCTGATGGAGGCTGGCACCATTAACGGCGCAAGCCTCTACAATATTCTCCATGAAAGAGAGATCGCACGTGTAGCTTCCTGTCTCCTGACGCTCGGTGGCCCAGCAAGCCGTCTTGGCGGAAGCCTGCGTCCGCGCCCCATGGCGGATGAAGACCTGCACTTGGAGCAACTCTGACGCGTGAGCAGGCCTTTCCGGAAGCTTGCCCCAATCCATCCGCTCGTGGCAGTAGTGTTGCACTACGCCCCGGTAGTCGTAACCGAGCCGCTCGGGTGACTCCAGCATGGCGCCCGCCATGGCGGCACACGTCACCAGCGCCGCGGCCTCGCGCGGCATGGGAGCAGTGCACTCAGCTGTGATATGCCGCCCACACCCTGGGCCTTGAACAACGCTAGTCAGAAGCCGAAGCCCCTACCATTGCGCGTGTGTCCCGCAACGTGTGTGATGCAAACAACGTGGTGCAATACGTGTTGCGCCATTTATGTCGTGTGCAATCTATGTGGTTCAAAAGATGTGGTGCAATCTATGTTGTGCACATCTGTCGTTCGTGCCATCTCTGTGGCGTTTTGCGCGTAAGTGGTGCAATCCTCTACGTGGTGCAGTTCACCCTGCCGAACTTGAAACGGTCAACTCCACTGCTCGCGCAAACATCCCACCCACCCACCCGCAACTTGGCGTGCAAAACCCATGCGACGGCGATCGCGACGAGTGATTGGCGTTGGCTGGTGCATCTCTGCGGCCGCGATGGCCCGCGCATGCTCGCGCGCGCAGCTGCCAGCTAAGTTGGCGCGGCCGACGCGGCCGCGGTGGCGCTGACCGCTGGGCACTTCTCAACGGGCACTTCAGTGCGAGTCGGTGACTTGGGCAGGCGCGCGATCATGGCGACGCCGACAAAGGTAGACACGATTACGAGAGTGGCGACGCTGGTGACGATGGTGGCGATGACGACGGCAAGGCCAATGACGGTGCCGATTTTGATCACGCCCGCCGATAACGATGACGATGTCCTCGCGTCGGCGATGAAGGTTTTTGAAAGAGTTCGACATGCGCGCGCGGCCAACGCGCGCGAGTGGCCCGTGTGCCACTATTCGACACGGATCGTGCCCCCCCCCAGCACTCGCGCAAGGGCGTTCGAATGAGTTTGACATGTGGCGCGAGAGGCCACTTTGGCAGAATTGGATGAGAATGTTGAAAAGTACTGATTTCTCAACAACCCGCAAGGCCGCGAGCGCACGTTTGTTCTGAGAACTGGTGTTGCAAAGCAATGTGTCCGTATATGTTTTCGGGACACTCTATTTTGAAATCCCGGCGGGGACCTCAGGTGTTT